GCTATTGCCCTTGCCAAGGAGCCTAGGTTTCACAAGAAGACCAGGCACATCAAGCATCGTTTCAACTCCATCCGTGAAAATGTTCAAGATAGAGACATAGATATTTGCAAAGTACATACGGATCTGAATGTCGCAGATCCGTTGACTAAACCTCTCTCGCGAGCAAAACATGATCAACACCAGAACTCTATGGGTGTTCGATTCATCACAATGTAACTAGATTATTGACTCTAGTGCAAGTGGGAGACTGTTGGAAATATGCCCTAGAGGCAATAATAAAAGTGTTATTATTATATTTCTTTGTTCATGTTAATTGTCTTTTATTCATGCTATAACTGTATTATCCGGAAATCGTAATACACGTGTGAATACATAGACCATAATATGTCCCTAGTAAGCCTCTAGTTGACTAGCTCGTTGATCAACTGATAGTCATGGTTTCCGGGCTATGGACATTGGATGTCGTTGATAACGGGATCACATCATTAGGAGAATGATGTGATGGACAAGACCCAATCCTTAGCATAGCACAAGATCGTGTAGTTCGTTTGCTAGAGCTTTTTCAATGTCAAGTATCTCTTCCTTAGACCATGAGATCGTGTAACTCCTGGATACCGTAAGAGTTCTTTGGGTGTACCAAACGTCACAACGTAACTGGGTGATTATAAAGGTGCACTACAGGTATCTCCGAAAGTGTCTGTTGGGTTGACACGGATGGAGACTAGGATTTGTCACTCCGTATGACGGAGAGGTATCTCTGGGCCCACTCGGTAATGCATCATCATAATGAGCTCAAAGTGACCAAGTGGTTGGTGACGGGATCATGCATTACGGTACGAGTAAAGTGACTTGCCGGTAACGAGACTGAACAAGGTATTGGGATACAGACGATCGAGTCTCGGGCAAGTAACGTACCGATTGACAAAGGGAATTGTATACGGGGTTTGATCGAATCCTCGACATCGTGGTTCATCCGATGAGCATGTGGGAGCCAACATGGGTATCCAGATCCCACTGTTGGTTATTGACCGGAGAGTCGTCTCGGTCATGTCTACATGTCTCCCGAACCCGTAGGGTCTACACACTTAAGGTTCGGTGACGCTAGGGTTATTAGGAAGACCTGTATGTGATTACCGAAAGTTGTTCGGAGTCCCGGATGAGGTCCCGGATGTCACGAGGAGTTCCGGAATGGTCCGGAGGTGAAGTTTTATATATGGGAAGTTGTCATGCGGACACCGGAAAGTATCGGGGGCATATCGGTATTGTACCGGGGCCACCGGAGGGGTTCCGGGGGCACACCGGGAGGGGCCACCCCTCTCGGAGGGCCACATGGGCCGCAAGGGGCAGGGATCCAGCCCCTGGAGGGCTGGGCGCGCCCCCCTACCTTGGGCCCATGCGCCTAGCGTTGGGGGGGAAACCCTAAAGGGGGCGCCCCCCTTGCTTTGGGGGCAAGTCCCCCTCCGTGGCCGCCGCCCCCCCTCTAGATCCCATCTAGAGGGGTCGGCCCCCTTTGCCCATTCCGCTATAAATAGAGGGGTGAGGGGAGGGCTGCAAGACACAACTCAAGGCGCAGGCCCTCCCCTCCCCAACACCTCTCCTCCTCCGTACGTGCTTGGCGAAGCCCTGTCGGAGTACTGCTGCACCAACAACACCACGCCTTCATGCTGCCGTTGGAGCAATCTTCCTCAACCTCTCCTTCCTCCTTGCTAGATCAAGACGGAAGAGACGTCGTCCGTCCCGTACGTGTGTTGAACGCGGAGGTGCTGTCCGTTCAGCACTTGGTCATCGGTGATCCGAATCACGGCGAGTACGACTCCATCATCACCATCCCCTTGAACGCTTCCGCACTCGATCTACAAGTGGTATGTAGATGCAAACTCTCTCCCTTGACTCGTTGCTTAGATGAAATCATAGATGGATCTTGGTGAAACCGTAGGAAAATTTTGAATTTTCTGCAACGTTCCCCAACAGAGATACCGAAGATCGAATCTCGGGCATGTAACGTATCGATTGACAAAGGGAATTGTATACGGGGTTGCTTGAATCCTCGACGTCGTGGTTCATCCGATGAGATCATCGAGGAGCATGTGGGAGCCAACATGGGTATCCGGATCTTGCTGTTGGTTATTGACCGGAGAGGCGTCTCGGTCATGTCTGCATGTCTCCTAAACCCGTAGGGTCTACACACTTAAGGTTCAGTGACGCTAGGGTTCTATAGATATGAGTATGCAGTAAACCGAAAGTTGTTCAGAGTCCTGGATGAGATCCCGGACGTCACGAGGAGTTCCGGAATGGTCCGGAGGTAAAGAGTTATATATAGGAAGTCAGGTTTCGGCCATCGGGAAAGTTTCGGGGGTCACCGGTATTGTACCGGGACCACCGGAAGGGTCCCGGGGGGTCCACCAGGTGGGGCCACCTATCCCGGAGGGCCCCATGGGCTGAAGTGGGAGGGGAACCAGCCTCTGGTGGGCTGGTGCGCCCCCCTAGGGCCCCCTTGCACCTAGGGTTGGGAAACCCTAGGGGTGGGGGTGCCTCCACCTGGCTTGGGGGGCAAGCCACCCCCTGGCCGCCGCTATCCCATCTCCTAGGGCCGCCCCCCTAGGGGCCCTATATAAAGAGGGGGGGAGGGCAACCGCACCCATACTCTTGGCGCCTCCCTCTCCCCGTGCTACACCTCTCCCTCTCGCAGACGCTTGGCGAAGCCCTGCCGAGATCGCTGTTGCATCCACCACCACGCCGTCGTGCTGCTGGATCTTCATCAAGCTCTCCTTCCCCCTTGCTGGATCAAGAAGGAGGAGACGTCTTCCCCAACCGTACGTGTGTTGAACGCGGAGGTGTTGTCCGTTCAGCACTAGGATCATCGGTGATTTGGATCACGGCGAGTACGACTCCCTCAACCCCGTTCTCTTGAACGCTTCCGCTCGATCTACAAGGGTTTGTAGATGCACTCCTCTCTCTCGTTGCTAGATGAACTCATAGATTGATCTTGGTGAAACCGTAGAAATTTTTTATTTTCTGCAATGTTACCCAACAAGCATGTCGTGGCGATGTCGAGGGGAGGGAGGCGCGAGGGGGGTCACGGAGTAGTGCCAGGGTTTCCCCCTGGCGCTCATGGGAGCTCCGCGGGTGGTGAAGGATGCTTGAAGGAGTTCAATTTCTGAAGGCTCTGTACTCGAAATCTTCTATAGCGTGCTTTCTCATCGGATGCAATGTGCCTCTCCCTCTAGTGTGCTAGCCGGCTGTGCGCTTCAGCCGCCGTTTCCCCTTTTATCATCACCAGTTTTGCAGAGATCTATCAATGTCAACTAAAACCCTGGCCCAAAGAAACATGACGATAGCAACACGATTCTCATCAAAACCCGGTTGACAGTACTTGCCGCTTAGGATCGGAATCATTTTCCCTTTCCTGTCATTCATTCATCCCCATGGAGGGTCGAGATACAATCCCACATATTCAAGGAATCAAATCCAGTATCAGATGGATGCATCAGAGAGTTGTACACCTGGAGCAAAATTTCATGGGGTCCTACCATCTATGGCGATCCCCTAAAGCGATGCCCGTGTTAACCTCATTAACAAAAAATCGGCTACCAACCATTTTTTTCCCACAGACAGAAGATGAAGAACACGAGGATTTCCCCAAGCAGGTCTCATAGCAACCAAAGTAATTTGAATATTGATGACTAGATGGGTAATTATTGTACCTATTAATGACAGCTTCACCGACATCGACTTAGACTTTTCACCGCCATTAGTCATCTCCACAACTTCTATTTCGTCACCCAAATATTGAGGTGGTCTATCATGGACATAACCTCCTCAGCCCTCTTTTCTAGTAGATACACGAACTTACATTTGTACCTGCTGGATCTAGAGGCTAGCTAGTTCTATTCGCCATTCAGAAGGGGACATCTGACATCCTGGATGAATAGGAGTGATAGTCTACTCATATAAAAAAGGTGCCCATTCTTTTTCAGAAGCACATCTCCAAAGAAGCTCCATTTCAATGTAATTGTCCTAGGGTAATTTGAGGAGAAGTTCTACCCGGGTGCGCATGAGTGCGAACAAAGTGTATAGGAAAGACTATGTTGGTTTTTGATAACAGTCTAGATCCTGGATGGCGTAACGGCGGGGCACCGGTGAACGACGTTGTGGCGTTACAAAAAAGCAACAAGTACGAGTGTGGATCTCGAGTCAAAGACGAAGACCTCGAAACCGGCTTGGAGAAGGCAACTGCGAGCTGAAACCAACAAGGAATCAACCGCCAAAACAAGTCCCAATCCAAGGGGTAGGTAAGAGCCTACCTGACGTAAAGGGAAAGGGATGCACACCGGAGGCAGAACACCTAGCAACGGTGGATTGGGTGGCGTATGGAGCGTGCGGGAGAGGCTTGGCAGGCTCCACGAGTTGCATACTCGCATTCTTTAGTTCCTTCTTGTTTTTAATGTGTTGTCATTTGGATTTTTGTGTTCTTCCGGTTTTTCTGATTTTTTTTCCGGTTTTCATTCAACGGGGCATGATGTCGGCTATACCACTAGTAAATTGTACCTTCAAAACTTTCCACATATTTTGGTTGTCAAATGATGATTTTAAAATACATGTGACTTTCTATACCAAAAAGGAGGGAGTATGAAGCCAGTGCACTTATCACTAGTTTTGTCCAAACTGATCATGCCATGTGGTAAACGAGCTCTGCAACCTCTCCGAGGAACGCACAACCCAATTTTTTTGAAAAGATTCAAACATCTGCTTTTTTAACCGCGCCTGCTGATGCTGCTTCACTTGAGAAAGCCCCTTAGTACTCTTATTAATGTTCCTTCCTTGTCGTGTGGATCTGCGCACCTCGAGCAGTTTTTCGGCGATGGCCTTCTCCACGCATAGATGTGCACTGCCATGGTTAGACCTCCAACATACCTGGTACGTCCTAGCCTTGGCATTATGATGAAGATACTCTGTTGCCTTGGGAATCACCATCTCATCGAGTTGGTCCAGTTGAACAGTTACGTGTGGGTGAGGTGGTGTGAATTATCTCTATCAATCACCTCTACCGCAAAACCATCAGACTTGGGGTCCTCCAAGGAGTCATGAGGCAAGAATAGAATTCCAAGCTTCAAAGGTGGCGAATTCTCCAAAGAAGACATGTCCTCATGACCAACAACTGCAGTTACTCCCGGCAGGTCATTGTACTTCGATACTGAGATATGACGCCGCAAAAACACTACACAGGCTGGTTCTGGAAATATGCGCGAAAATCTTATTTTTTTTCCCCTGGCGTTGTCACCACTGTTGTGACAAGAAGGCACAAGGTTGTGCTCATATCCTTGACAACATAATGGATCTGGGCGAAACCATCGAACCAAAGTTCTGTGGATGTTGTTCCAGTGTTCGTCCTTGTGTGCAACACACGAGAAATCTTGTGTGGGAAACTGGATGATCTCTCTGATCACAATATCAGCCGTGGACTTGAAGTTTGGTGTCAGCAGTCGCAAGCACTTGACTGTAGTTCCCACTATGTCTGTACTCTCCGAAAGACGCAATATGACCACAAGCCCAAAATTATTTTTGGGCAACTTGCAGTCTTCGTACAAGAAGGATAGAATGGCCACTACCCCACGCTCCTCGAAACCAACCGGCCGTATGCTAAAGAAGCTATACCGGCCGGCTGGATGCAACATTTGATATATCAGTGATTTGCTCCTGAAGACATGCCCAATAAGAGGGTCAAACAATAGGTGCTGTCGCGGCGTTGCACCGAGCTGTACAAAACTCACGAATTCACTTGCACCGTCTGCAAGCTTCTCAAATCTTCGGACGGCAGCGGTGGTGGTGCTGCTCGCAGAGTAATGGTCATTGTCACGGCCGACCAAAGAGGAGATGAACACCTTGGTCGCATGAGCTATCTGTCTAGGAAACGAGGATTGCCTTACCACTTGCTCCGCCTCCTCTTCTTCCTGAAAGAGTTGCCTGCATCTGCGCGCTACGTCGTCGCAGTGCTGGGCAGCACGCTTCAGCTTCTTCCGCCAATGGAGCAGCGGCACGTCGGTGATTTGCCACTTGTCAGACGTATGGAGCGCGGCCTCCATTTTGATGTGTGCCATCTCCAGCCTCTCTAGGCCACCATCCCCTGCTGCTTCTTCAACTGATCTGTCAGGCCTTTTGCTGGTGGGGGCAATACGAGAAATAATCCGGCTAACTGCTTCCCCAACAATGGCAGACTTGACCATCTCGGCCATTGCTGTGCTTTTGAGTACGACGCAAATTAGCGAGAAAGACTACGTTGTGGTTGTGCTACTCAAGAAATGGACTAGCTAGCCTTGTTTCCCTAGCCATCCCTCACTTCCGTTCCTTTTATTGCTCAACATGCTTTCGTAATCTGTGGTGAACGAATGATCGACTGAAACATCTAAGCTCGCTGGTGGTTTTCTATTGGAAAGGTGAGAAAAGAATTTTGTTTCATTCCGTTGATAAGGACAATTGGCGGAGCAGAACGGGCGGACCAGAATATACATGGAGACAGCCTCCTCGAAGGTGGTGCATACGATTTTGGAGCCAGCCAAATATAGTGGATTACTATGTGCCAACTGTGTTAGGTCTTCTTTAACGAAAGGACTCTTATATACTCCCTCCGTTCCTAAATATAAGTCTTTTAAGAGATTTCAAATGACCTATCACATACGGATGTATATAGACATATTTTAGAGTGTAGATTCACTCATTTTGGTTCGTATGTAGTCACTTGTTGAAATCTCTAGAAAGATCTATATTTAGAAACGGAGGGGAGTAGGTGTTTAGAGAAAGAAGCATGTGTTAAGAGTCCAGTCCAAACGCTGCTACCGCTTATGTACGGGCGCTAATGAATGAACGAAAAAAAAGGGAGTATGCACTAGTGTCTAATGACTCAGGTTGCCTTTGTTTGGGCTGCAGCTACTCATTGCTAGATTCTAGGCCTGTCATGATCAGAAGCTCAAAACAAACACATCACATTTCTACATAGCTTACCGAAATCAATTATGAAAAACTACGAGCGAAGCGAAGCTGGAAGCACTGATTTTGGTGACTAGTGATTCTGCAGCTTCCGGTTTGGCCTGGTGACGCAGGTGGATCGGAAAAGCTGGTGTTAGCGGACCCAAGATTGCGTAACAATTGGTATCAGAGCCCAGGTGCCCGGAATAAATCTCGGTGGACTCACGGATGGTCGATCATGATTGGTGGGCTGAAAACGCTGGTGTTAGTGGACCCATGATGACCGATGTGCGAGGGAGAGATTGTTGGGTTTAGTCCCACATCGGTTGTGGGGGAGACACAATGGTTGGTGGGGAGACTGCTGAGTTTAGTCCCAAGACACAATAGTTGGTGGGTTGGAAACACTGGTGTTGCGGGCCCATGGGTGAGCTATGTGTGAGGGATAGATTGTTGGGTTTAGTCCCACATTGGTTGTGCGGGAGACATAATAGGGGAAGAGGGCCCAGGGCCTCTCATAACTCGGTGTTTCTCTCCGGTAGGGCTTGGTGACGTAGGTGGGTTGAAAACTTCGGTGTTAGCGGACCTGAGATTGCGTCACAGCCCTCAGCCGAGCAAACCGTCGACGTCCCAAGTCCCAGTCCCAACCCGTGATCTCTCGTCTCTTCTGAGATACCAACCCAGCGGCCGCAACCAGATGAGGATGCCGGCCTCCGGTAAACATGTTGTAGAGCATAGGCTTCAGGACACCCCTTTATCTAGCCACTCATTTTTGCATCGCGATTCATGCAAGTACTTTTATCTTTTTTGTTTCTTTCATATAGAACAACATATAAACTTCAAACTTGGCAGCTCAACTGAACATTCTTATTAGAATGTGAGAGAAAACTTTTGGAATTTTTCGTGCATCATAAGTACTAAAAAGTACATTCTTTAATAAAAAATCTCATTTCGTTTATTTCTGTTGGACCAAAAAATCTGAAAGTTTTTTCTCACATTCTAGTTAGAATGTTTTTGTGTCTTGCAAAGTTTGAAATTCATATGTTGTTTTGCTTTGAAGAAAAAAATTGATGTAATAAGTTAGTTGTCTAGCAAGGATCTTAAAGCAATGTAGGAGGATACGAATAAGTAGGGTCCAGAAACCTGAGCTCTAAAAAGCCGCGTCCCGCCGGCCTCCCGTAGGGCCTCGTCGACCATCTCCTCGTGGCAAAGTCCTCATAGACCTGGTCGACGTGGTGTGTAGCGGCGCTGTGGCGAGCATCGGATGAAACCGCTGTTGTGCCTGTGTCCGCGGGTCAGGGTGGACACGGTCCGGGCCGTCGTTTGGACCGGCCGCCGGCGGGCCGGACCGGACAGGACCGAGCATACGAGCGGTCCTGTTTTGGGGGACCGGACCGGCGCCGACGGAGCCCAAGCCAGACCGACTGGACCGAATGGACCGATCACCACCGGCGTCGACGTGTGCGAGTGCAGCGGCGAGGTGGGCTACGTGCATGACTGATGTGACGAAGTGGACGACGTGCGCGAGAAATTAGCTAACAACCGAAATTTCGGCGAAACCAACAAACTGAATTTTGTGAACCTGTTGAAACTGAACCAACGTAGCTCTCTCTCTCTCTCTGTAACTACCACTCCTAGTCTCTAGTGCACGATCGCAACAGCTTACCTAGATGAGTTTGTTATGGAGGTTGTTAGCGTAGTGGCCGCACGTGCATCCTCCACTTCTCTGTACATTTGTAACACACGACCTGTTTCTCTCCTATTGCTCCTTCTTACACTGACAAAACGGACGAAACTGAAGTGCGTGAGAAACCCAGACAAACAGAGGGACTCCTTGAACAGCAGTGGTGGCTTCATCTTCAGAGCGTTCGGATCATGCCCAGTTATTCCTAGTCCTGCCGGAGAGGCGTTTTCCTACCTGGGGCAGCTGGTAGCTAGTGTACGTGCTGTCGCCATGGCTGGAATTGGTGCCAGGTTTGGGGTCGACTCCATGGTCGAGAACTTCAGATCGGCGCCGGTGCACGCATGGCAGCGACGGCGAGCGGCACCAAGAGGCTATGCCGCACTGGAAAGTGAGGAAGGGATGAGAGGGGAAGCTGCGGGGACATGATGGTTCACACGGAGGCTGCCGGTGGCCACGACGACGCGGCACGGCCGTGGCGGTGACTATGTTTTCTCTCGGTCCGACCAGGCGGCTCAGATAAAGACCGGACCAGACCAACAGTTTCTCGGGCCGAAAATTACAGCCCGAACCGACCAGTTTTCCTACAGGGCCTGGACCATACGGTCCAGTCCTTAACGGGCCACGAGCGGGCCAAAAAGCTTGCTCGTGCCGTCCACCCTGATCCGCTGGCGCCATTGCCTGCGAGGCTGCGAGAGGAGAGCGGGCGTAGGGGCCATGTGTGAGGGCACCGAGGCACCGAGGCTGGCGGGAGGAGGCCGCGCGTGGAGCAGGTGCTGCTAGGTCCATGCATGTGTGATCTAGTGAACCTTTGGGGCCATGTGCGATGCATAGAGATTTCTCGATCGATACCTTCCTGGGAAATGGGAACACAGTTCTATCCCCACATGAATTAGACAATCTTCTGAATGAACATGCAAACTTATATATTCTAAATAACAACTTAGAAATCTTGTTCGTGTAAGCAAACAATACCGCATGCGGAATAAAAAAATAAAGGCTTATTATTATATTAAATAATAGCAGTGACTACAATGAGAGATCAATCCAAGCAGTGCAATAGGGACTATTGCCGACTTGAGGTAAAGATCAGAACAAGAGAAACAAAAGGGAAGTGCTCACCACTGAGAAAATCCTCAGAGATTGGCACCCCCAACTTTACCATACCTTTAGAAACAAGGGTGACGAACATTGAGCTCGACAATTCCGTGCCTCCAATGGTTGACGGCTTCATCAGCTGCAATCACAATTCACATGCAGAAAGCTAACTAAAGGTGCAGTGCTGCTGAAACTTCAATCTTAAAAAATGTGAATGGAAAAAATCAGCTTTCAGTGCAATAACATCAATGTCCACATCAATCTTCCACTAAAACCAGAAGATGTTCAGTATTTTGGTACAAAATTGCAGACCGTCATTTTCTGACATATTCCTTTGCACAATCATAATCTAAAACATGCCTGCACGTACTCGGTACGGGACAGCGGCATCCGCAGCTTAGGGCAATGCGTCCTCACCTGCAACTGCTATGAGCAGTACTGTCTAGAGGATTAGAGCGCTCTTGCATGGCGATGGATGGGACGGTATCCCTGCGACCGGTGTCGGTGTGGAAGAAAGTGTCTATCGACAGAGAGTATGGGATAGTACACAACGGCTGCTCCGGCAAACTTCATAAATCACCTTGCCACGTCCATACCACTTGAACGAACCCACTAGAAATAGGAACATGATTGTCATCCTTGTTGGTCTTGGCCGTGTCATCCCAGAAGCAGTGTGCGAGCGCCCGCCACTTCGCCATCTTCCAGCACTACACATACCTCGAAGCTCATCATGAGCTGATGTATCCTCATCACCTCCATTAAATCCAGAGTTCAGAAGTCTATATCTATATCTATATCTATACCGACTAATAAAGCAAGGTGCGTTTCTCCGCTTTTTTCATCCGTTCACCAACGAAGAGAATTTTCTTTTACCCGAGGTGGTACTAAATTTTTGTGTTTTCGTGTGCTAGAAAAGAAAACGGGTTGTCCAGATTTCGTACCTGGGCCGGGCGTTGAGGCCCAGTGCAGCAAGGCCACTTATTTTCCTGCGCACACAGCTGGCAGAACCCTATTTACCACACAAAGATTCGCACAGGTCGCCCAACACTCGGCCGGCCCATTTTTGTTTTATCCTGTCTTCTGTCTTTTTCTCTTTCTTTCTCTTGTTCTTTCCTAATTATTTCTACGTTTTACCCTTCCAAGTTTAATTTAGTTTTTTTCTAATAAATTCGAAATTTTCAAAAAAACTCAGAATTTCAATTTTTCGTTCAAGTTTTCGACCAATATTCCAAATTCGAAAAAAGTTTGTTTTAAAACAATTCAGAACTTTGTTTTTTTCTTCTGAAATTTGTTCAAACTAAAATAATATTCCCAATTTTTCAGAAAATATTTATATTTTCGGCACTTATTCATCATTACCAATGTTTCTTTTTGCATTTAGAAAAATGTTTCAAATTTGAAAATATTATTTTTTGTGAAATGTTTACGAAATTAAAATAATTTCCTTAATTGAATAAACATTTTCAAAAAAATTCTGAATGTACAAAACATGTT